TAGCCTCCTTTTTCCTTTTCTTTATGTCTTTGAATTGCTTATCAATGAAAACCACCATAGTCGTCACTGTCGCTTGTTTCCACAAGTACCACTCTTACCAACGTCGATCTACACTACTATCATCACCGCAAATAATCACCATTACAATTATCCCCACTACCAACAACACAAATGACATCATCACGCCACTATAAAAAACTACCGACGACACCCCATTTTATCTCATCACATACTACTACAAAAAGCTACCATCACTGCTACCCCATTTTACTACCACCACCACCATCTCAATGCCAGCCTATTTACAACCTCCAATCATTCGTCATATAAAAATCTTTAGAAGCATTCTACAAACCTAAAAAAATTCAAAGAAATAAAATAATATCTTAAATATCCTACTGTGGTAGTGAAAGGAGAAGGTGGTTGCCGAAGCAATGCTAAAAAATTAGTTATATATACCTTTCCAAAACAATAAATTTTAGAAAGTTAGAAGATTTATCAAACGAACGAGACTAGGGTTGGCTCGAAGAATTTGGAGGCTCTAGGCGACTAATTTTTTTTGAGGCCTCAAACATAATTTTTTTAACAATCGTAATACTACTTAAGTATTTAAACAAATAATATTTCTGTATTAAAACGAAGATTCCATGCAATTCAAGAGATATAGTAGCAAAATAAAGCCCGTCTCACAACTCGAGAGATTAAACTAGCATAATATTTAACATTCTCACATGGAATCTTAAAGTGAAATTGTCTATCATTAACTGCTGCAACATTTTTGGACGATCATTCTCAAGATATAATGATCAAATCACTTGTTCAAAATAAATTATAAGTGAACTTATAATTTAGATTTGTGCGTTCTATTCTTTCACTAAATCATCCAATAAGTGCCTTTAACAATTTTAATTTACAAATAAATTATTTTAATCAAAGAAGGCGGATATATATAGTCCACAAATTCTAATAATTGTAACACGTTATCGAACGTGAAAATATATATAATTAAGCACGCATGCTTAGGTGTAAAGCAAATTATATTCACATACAAACAAATGATACGGAAAAATAAGCAAAGACTTATTCTTAGTCTTTTAACAAAGATTGTGGGAGATCGCGAACAAACTTTTCTTTGTTAAATAAAATTATATTACAAGATTGGAATAAATATAGAAGAAGCACAAAAGAAATGTAAAGATTTGATTGATATTTTTGTCCAATAACTTTTTGTGGAGATTTATATTACTTTACGACTTGTGTGGTTAAAGGAATTATGGAGGTATTCTTCTTTTTCGATCTTATACTTCCATCCTCAACGTATTTTATGGAAGCGAAAGGGGGGGTAAGAATTATTATTAATAATTAATGTAAAAGAATTAGACTTCTCTATCTA